GTATCTCTAACGTGTATCTTTTATTTTGCTTAATGAAACTGCCTTTCAAACATTTTTACTTCGGCAGTGTGAGACAAATATTGTTCCTCTGACTGTCCAAAGATGAAGGGATTGTTGTGATAAGCAGATCGGCGAATATTAACCTGAGAAACACAGACGTACTCAAACATGTCGGCATATGCTGCTGTTTTCGCAGATTTATTTATGCAAGTGGAAAAGGAAGAATTCTGTCCACACAAGACGTAAAGAAACAAAACATTAATAGACAGTCCTTCACATATGAACAGTAGAACATGTACAAGTCTTTCTTCATTACAGAGGGCAAACAGTGATTCACATATTCAGATAAAGTTAATATAAAGGCAAGACTAAAAAATAATTCTGATTTTGAACTTTAGATGCAGTAACTAGTTCCATAAAAAATATTATTTATAAGAAGCTAAAGAACAGCTTGACCTAAGCACAATCAATAAAACATAAATAAGTAGCCTAATAAGTTATTCCTTGTGTTTATGCAGCCATTGAGTTGCACTCACAAATCACAATGAATAACTGATTACGGACATAATAATGAGCATTTCAGAGTCTCACACAATTCTTGTGTTATATTGCATTATATCTCTGTGCTGTGCTGTAAATGCAGTGGATGTTTAAAAAAACTCAACATATTAATAAATATATTGACACAAAAGATGTGATATTTACACAGATAAATCCTCAAACCCAAGAAACGTCACATGTCCTACACAGCTAATGCCACACATTCACTAGAAGAGGATATTCATATTCACATTCAAGTGTATAAAATGCTCTGCACAAAAATACAAAACAAAACACCCAAAGAAGCAAATCCTTCAAATATGTTCAGTAAAACACATTTCTTAGTTCTGTGTTCATGAGCTGAGACGCTTCAGACGCTGGTGTTCAGATGACGATGCTGGTGCCGCTGCGAGAGCTCTTATCCTGCAGAGGAAGAGGAGAGCGAAGATTAACAAGATCAACCACCACTGAACGGCAGACGAGGAGTCCGAACCCAACGCCACAGAGCAGAACACAGTAAAGAGTTCACTTAAACCCATCGGCTGAGTCGCAGTATTAGCATTGGAGCTCCGTGAGCTAAACCTGATGCTCATGTTCTGAGAAGATAAAGATCAACATCTGAGCGTCTGTGAATCAGTGACCGGGATCTATTATATCCCTTCTACACGGTGGACTATAGGTCTTAAATGACTTCAGAATCTTTCTGAAGTTTCAGCTCAGAATCCCCCACAGATCAGTTATTACATCATGCCCCTTTTTGGTGGAAGCAATAACACACTGTTTGTGTGTGTGTGTGTGTGTGTGTGTGTGTGACTTTAAATGCAAATGAGCTGCTGATCGTGGCCAAATGAGATAAAGATGCGTGTGTACGCTCTTTCAGGGGAGGAGCTATGCTAATAGGGCAGCTGTAACAGGCCTGTTACACTGATGTCAACATGTATGGAAAACACGAATGACTCATTTCGGGACACAGTACACACACTGTACACACACACACACACACAACTGTATCTTCTAACACCATGTAAAAGTGAATTTTGCATAATAGTTCCCATTTCAGATTCAAACGAGAAAGAATTCATCCAACATTTGTTAACATGTTTAATGCGATTGCAGACGTTTTGGATCAACTAACGTGTTACGTGTTAGTTTGTCGTTGTATGGCGTTTAATAATGTTAGTATAACAGTGACGGCAGGAGAATGACGGTTTTAAAGAAGAAAGCAGCGTTAGTGAACGCGCGAGCCGCTCAGGAGTAGTTCAGACTCTTACAGAGAAGCGCTCCGGCCGCATGTTCGGCTTCTTCCCGGGCTCGTACTCGCTGTAGCTGGGAGGATGCTGATCGCGAGCTCCTCGTGTTCCTCCGCGTCGGCTAGCTTCCTCGTTAGCGGAGCTCCAGGAGCCGCGGCGGGGCAGAGGAGAGTAATCATCCCGCCGGGCCGGGCCTCTGCGCTCCGCGGCCAGCAGATCGTCCCGGGATCGGGAGCGCGGGCGGGATCCTCCGGGCCGGCTCCGGCTGTCCAGCACGTCCTCCTGACTGTAGCTGCGCGGGATTAGCGGGCGAGGGTAGCGGCGATCATCGCGCAGTGGGGCACCGTACACAGACGAGCCGCTGGAGTGTGATCTGGCTCCTCGTGATCCGGGCGGGAGCCGGCGGGAGGCGGGCCCGTCGTCCAGCGCAGAGAGCATGCTGGGAGGCCCGGCGGAGAAGGGCACGTGCTGCGGTGGGGGGGGCACGAGCTGGGGCTGGAGGAGAGGGCTGTTCACATCCATGCCCCGCACCTGATTCTCCAGGTACTCCAGCACCTGGTGGTTCCCGTGAACGCTGCCGTTGCCGTGCATGCTGGGAGGAGGCATGTGACCCGCCATCTGCATGTGCGGAGGCGGCAGCGGAACCGGCGTCATCTGACCCTTCTGTGACCCTGAAGCGGGATAACAGAGAGACTCAGAACACAAACACACAGCGGCTCTCATGTCACTTTAAAAAAAAACATGTCTGACTGCAAAGAAGCAAAATGAGCTTTAGAAAATATATATTAAATGATAAAAATAAAGCCCTTATAAAGCCGACTGCATCATATTTGATGTACAGTTCCTAACGCCGCTGAATGATGAAGATGATAAACCTCCTCCAGTCCTTCTGTGTCTGATAAACTCTTATCAAGTAAAAGTCCTTTAGTATATCTGTACAAACGTCCTTCAGCTTGTGCTTCATGTGTCTTTATGCTGTTAAACATTTACTGGTTTATATAAAGTAAATGTCAAAATAACTTTGATATTGTTGTAATGGACTGAAACAGGTTTACTTGATTATCCAAATGTCAGACATCTTTTTTTATAAAAATCATGAGTATCAGATATGATTCATCAGGCGTTTGAGGAAGGGTTATTTGTTCATGTCTCAATCATCATTGTATTGCATTAAATGTTTTAAACTACAGGGCTCCGACTCCACGAGAGTGACCGGGACTGACCCCGACTCCACAAGAGTGACCGGGACTGACCCCGACTCCACGAGAGTGACCGGGACTGACCTGCGTACAGTATGGGATTCATCTGGTAGCCGGAGCTGTGGTTGCTCATGGGAGCGTAGAGCGGCTGTCCGTTCATCCACGGCGTCATGGCCTTCTGTGCCTCCTTCATCAGCCGGTGCTGCATCACGGCTGAACACAGCAAAACAAACACAGCGTTAGGAGTGTGTGTGGTGTGTGTGAGTGTGAGGCAGGTGAGTGTGTGTACGAACCCTTCTCAGGGCAGCAGCAGGTCTGAGGGCAGCACGGGCAGCGCACGTAACAGCAGCACTTCTGCGGGCAGCACTGACAGCAACACACACACAGCAGGAGGACGAGCGCCAGCACGCCGATCACGATGAACAGCACCGTCAGCCAGTCTAACAACACACACACACACACACACACACACACACAGGAGGAGGATCAGCATCAGCCAGTCTCACACACACACACACACACACACTGCAGATCCTGCCACTCGCAACACAAGCTGCAACTTCTCAATAAACACATTAACTGATCAAATCTACACCTTCAATGAGATTTAAAGGAGTGCTTCACTTCATCATTTACACACCCCCACGTCATCCAACATATTCATGACTTTCTCTCTTCAGTTGAAAAGAAATTGAAAACGTTCCAGGATTTTTCTCCATATAGTGACTTCAAGGAGGTCCAACGGTTTCAGTGCAGCTTCAAAGTCTCGACACGATCTTATCTAGACAACCCAGCGGACATTTTATATAGAAAAATAAAAACCACTTACAGACCCAGAGTTTACAAAGCGAACGTGCAAAGACCAAGTCAAACACCATTTACAAAACAAACAAATAAATAAATAAAGGTAAAACAATGATGTTGGACAATTTTGATGTGTGGTTAGGGTTGAGGTTTTAGACCCCTTTGACCCGGAATACCCATGACCTTTCAATGTGATCACGTCGCACAACAGCTAGTGCAAGACCAGCATTTGTGGTTAAAAGTATATAAATGTTGAATTTTTGTTATAAAATGGTGGATGGTTTGACTAATTAAGACTTTGAAGCTGTACTGAAACTCACATTTGGATCTTCAACTTGTTGGACCCCATTGAAGTCACTATATGGAGAAATCCATGAATATGTTGAATGACGCGTGTGAGAAAGATTTTAGGACATTTTACTTCTGAAGTGAACTACTCCTTTAAGTCGCTTTGGATAAAAGCATCTGCCAAATGATGTTATTCATGCATCACGGTCTCTATATGCTGAAATACAGAATCAGTTTGCTTCTGTTTTGAATGAATTTTAAAGGTTTTTAACAGGTTGCTTACAATGAGACTCGAAGGCTTTACTGTGTTTAACTCCTGTATTCGTAATCATGACTTACGGTACACGATCAGCTTCATCTCTTTGTCTGAATCTCCGATTGTGTCTCCAGGCGCATCCACGGAGCAGAAATACATCCCGTTATCCCACCACATCACCTCCTTGATGACCAGATCCGCCTCTGATCAACACAAACGCAGAGCACATTTCTGGATTACTGAAACAGAAACAATAACCATTCATGGAAGAAACAACACACTGATTGGTTGGGAACCGCAACGGTCCGAGTACTGAGCCTTGTGGTACGCCATCCTGAACTTGTGATCGATATGACATCTCTTTGTTTACTACTACAAACTGATAACGGTCAGCAGTGAAAGAACATATTAATTTGTAGAACTGAAGCTGAAGGGTTATGATTTTGAAGGATCGGTGGTGTTGGTTTGCGCTCAAGCGTCAGTCCGTCAGTCCGTCAGTCCGCTGCTGCTTGTATATCTAATGAGTGATTGGGGCGGCAGCGGCTCAGTGGTTCATGTAGGTTGTCTACAAACCAGAAGGTTGGTGGTTCAATCCCCGGTGGTGTCCATGAGCAACACACCTAAGCCCAGCTGCTCCTGACGAGCTGGATGGCGCCTTGCATGGCCGACACCGCCGTGGGTGAATGTGAGGAAAACTGTAAAGCGCTTTAGTGGCCATTGGGTCGGTGAAAGCGCGGTTTAAATGCAGTCCATTTACTATTATAATGAAGGTATTAATCAATATTTTTCCTTCTAAATATCAAATGAGCTGAATGACTAAGCATGTGAGATTTATTTAGTTATATAAGTTAGGTCACCAGGTTGATTACTGAAATGTTATTTTCATGTATTGTCTAATGTCTGAAAGCAGTAACAGTGCTTGCTCATTTGGACTTCTTTAACATGTGTCAATACATACACCTGCTTTACGGTACTCTGACAGATATGGCCACAGGGGTCATTGATGTCTATAGTTTAAGGGAACATTTCCTTAATTTACTGCGTTAGATTAAAGTGTCCTCTCCTTGAGAGAAAGAGTGTATTATCGTGATGTTTTGAGACGACTCTCCTGTTTATAGTTAGAGCCAGGCCAAACTCAACCTTGAAGAAGCTGTGTGTCGGCGTGTGTGTTATAGGAGATCGAGTGAGTTGTTGTACGGACAGACCCTAATCTGCGACCTGGAAGGTCACGACGTGCTTAACTTCAGGGTCCGAGTGTCACTCGCATGGAGATCTCTGTATATGTGTGGATCTATTTCTTAGCCAATCAGAACCATTCAACTGAAGCAGGGCTGTAGCGTAGGCTATAATGGCTGATCTGTGTAACTGTAAACGGCCTACGAACTCGTGAGTCTTGAAGGGGAACTTCTGCTGATGAAACTGCAAACTACCTTCAGTAAAACTTGTCTTCAATTTATTATAATTCTTTACTCATCATATCTGGTTGTGTATCTTTGACTGTAAATCCCCTCACACACGTTTCTCGTATCTTCATCAACTCACTGTTCTCAATGTAGACTTTGCGGTCCCTGTACTCGGAGCCCAGCACCGCCTCGTTGGGGCCCAGTTTCTGAGCCACGGTTCGGATGGTGCGCTGTGTGTCCACGCAGTCGTTGGCTGGATCTTGCCCCAACTGAAGGGCGGACTGGTACGCTGCAGAACACACACACACACACACACACAGTTAGGGTTCAGCTGATCTGATGGGAATGACAACATTATCTGCTGTTCAACATTACAGTAGTACTGTACTCCAAAACATGTTTTACTGCTTCTACTCGAGCTCAGATCTGCACACACGATCCACAACTTCTGCTCTCGTTAGTGAAGCGTCGAACGCACAGGAGCGTCTCAGCACTGAGATCACAGACAGGACTGATGTTGAACAGATACCTGTGGAGTAATAGTCCAGAACTGGGTCTTTGCAGAAGGACTTGAACTTCCAGGTGACCAACACATTCTGAGGCTGCGCGGACGTGGAGTAATCACAGCGTAAAGTGACCGAAGCAAAGAGAGTCGTGCGCCTCTCCAACTCCGAGAGAGTGACCTGGATACCCAGAATCCCTGAAGAGAGGAAGAGAACGTCAGCTTTATACGGGACAGATCGAGTCAGGGCAGAGAATAGCCGAATCAATGAAGCAATCAGATTCTACAGAAGAGTCATTATTCAGATCAAGTTTCGTTCCTAACCAATAATGTCAGTGCAGTCAGATCAATAATAATAAGTGTAACATTAAATGTCTTTTAAAGAGAAAGTGTATGTGTGTGTGTGTGTGAGAGAGAGAGAGAGAGAGAGAGAGAGAGAGAGAGAGAGAGAGAGAGAGAGAGAGAGATAAACAGACAGAAATACACACGCTGCCAAACCTGTACAACTGGAAATGACACAAAGAGCCGGAAATTCTTCACTGGTTTCAAACAAAGTGAGTTTCAGTGTTAGTGAGGACAAATATTCAGCAAAATATTCGTGAAAACTTCATTTCTGTTAATCTTTTGGATTTCAAATAAACATTCATGATCACCTGAGCGCTGCTTTTATACTTGTTTATTTATTTATATTTTCATTTTTTATTTTTCACTAGATTCCATACTTTCTTACTCTTGAATGCTTTAAGTTGTTTTAAACATTTACGTCCCGTCATTCCGTCAATGTTTGAACATTTTAATTGGATCGATGTCAACAACAGTGATCACGTGACCGAAACGGACGAGCTCAACAGGTGAAACACAGTTACCTGTTCCTCTGACCAACCTTCACAATGTCACTCTATTATTCGGCATTATAAATGAGCAGGTGTGTGTGTGTGTGTGTGTGTGTGTCTCACCTGAGCTCAGGACACTCAGCAGCAGCAGAGACACGATCATCATGATGTTCAGGTGAAACTCCAGTAAACGCGAACCGAAACCAGCGCGAGTGTGAATGCGATTACAGTCACGGATCAAACACGCATTTCATACCAAAAGCCGCTTTAACTTGTAGTTGTGTTCCTCTCAGAGACCGACTTGTGATTCCTCTGCTCTGCTCTTTCTCCCCCTCATCACCATCATCATCATCATCATCCTCAGCGCTCCACCCCAAACACAGGTGCGTCACATGACGCGCGTGCGCACAGGTAACACCAGCCGGCGACACCGCCAAATACACATTCGGAACTGATACTGCTATTACTATTTCTGCAATAAAAATATGTGGGGAAAGTAGTACGAGTAGTAGGGCCTATACTAGTATGCGGTTCTGAATTTATGAATCTTCATGCAAATATTCATCGAATGAAGTTTCTTCACTGTGCGCCTCTACTTTTTAATGCTACAGTCTGCAATGATCTGAGTGACAGGTTAGCAGCTCTGCTCCTTAAAATGGACAAGAAAATAAACATTACACGATGAACACTAGAAGAACCACTTGTCAGCAGAGGATGAAGACTCAGGAGGAAGGCTGACATGATCCCCGCAGGACCCGATCTGAGGGAGTTTGAGGGAAAAGGCTTTCACACTCGTTTAAATAGTGAAAGACTCTGAATAAATAGTATGTTAATATCACCATAATATATACAAACGCTATTGTATTATTATTAGCTAGCTGCTTGCTTGTTGATGGTGTTCGTGAATGTGTTTCCTGATCAGAGTCAGTCATTGGATGAAGTTCCTCGAGTCACCAGCAGATGGCGTCACAGTCTCGGTCTTGAAGGCCCATCTTCTTTTTCCACTGGAAATGTTCTGTAAATATGATATTTAAAAGTTTTGTTGGCAGAGCGATTGTGATGAGCTGCAGTCGACCTGCAAAGGTCAAAGTTGAACTGTTCCCTCATGACGTCTGTGTTCTTCTGTGATGATCTAGCGGACCTTCACAGATCCAGACTGACTCTATTACACTCCTCTCATCAACAGAGAGAGAGTGAGAGATCACAACCACACACACACACACATAATCTGTCCAGCTGAGAGGCTGTGGGCATGTGTGTGAGATCCCCATCCTTAAGTGTGTGTGTGTGTGTGTGTGTGTGTGTTAAGGGATAAAACTATCCCCAGTAGGAGCTGAATTAGACAAAAACTCACTTTAATGCCACCCAGGAACATCGTCATGTGGAAATCACTCATTAATAAACAACGTTTTTTAGCCGTAGATTCAGAGGGTTTGTGTTGTGAGTGTGTGAGCATCTGTGTGTGTGAATGTGTGTGAGCATGTGTGTGTGAGTGTAATGTTTCCATCTCTAAACTGATGTGTTTGAGAGTCATTATTGTCTCAACAATGAACAAAGAGCCTCATGACACACACTTACACCGACACAAACAAACAAACACACACACACCACATCATGCGTAAGAGTCGTAATGCTGCAGCAATAATGTGACGCCACAGAAACAGAACAAAACACTGAATAAATGAGTGTTAGGAGAAGTGTTGATCAAGTTTTTACTGAAAGTCATTTGATGATGTATAACATAATGTGAGTCTGTGTACAGCTAATATACACATTTAGGCATGAGACAGTAAACATATGAAAGCATACAAAATGTAAACACAGTTGCATAAAAATGATCTTCAATGTAATTGTATTTTACGATTTTCTCAAGTATTAGGATAAAATCATTTTTAGTTTGATACAGCTAACTTACACATATTTCATAGATAAAGAATAGTAGAGTAATGCAGGTGAACACACAGCCGTCAGTCTGAGATCTCCTGGCAGCATATGATGAGGTCATCAGCCGATAACGTCAGCATATGATGAGGTCATCAGCCGATAACGTCAGCATATGATGAGGTCATCAGCCGGTGACGTCACGCTGGACACCGGACCCTTCGGAGAAGGACCGGCTGTGTCCGCTGCACAATACACTGTGACGTCGAGGGAATCCTGAACTATTGCTCCATTCAGAAACACACACTCCTCCTCACGGTTGGGTTCTGTTCGCATTTACCGTACCTGAAATCCGGTGCCGGCACCCAACGGTACTTTCTTTCTGTAATTTAGGCATGTTTACGTCAATAACTGTAAAGAAACCAAATCATTTATAGAAGTATTATTGCCATTATTCCAGAGCTGCCTTGGTCTCTGTCTGCCATCATCTGTGACGCTTGAATATTAATAAACACAACCACTTAGGAATAAAAAAATTCCAAGAATTGTTTGGTTTTCCACAAATTCTTTGTTGTGAATTTTCTAGTGATCAAAAGAAGACATTAATAAATATTAATTTAATTGATCTTTTACACGAGATTAAATGTTTGTGTCAACGAACATGCGACACAACTTTATACTGTTAAAATTACAATATAGAAGAAAAAGTGTGATTATTCCTTTAAAAATACATTTTTGATAATCATTATTAGTGTTATTATTAAATTGAGATATGTAAATTCTACTGTACAACAGTAATACATTATCAAGTTAAAGCGAGCTTTTATTTTGAAGGGTTGTGCTGAAGACCTTTGAGTTTGTGTGTGTTAATGATATAACGATAGTTTTTTTCTAGAATGAAACTGATGAATGCTGATGAACTTCAGAGCGGCTCTGGAAATGAAGTTCATGCATTCAGGCTGTCCTGTAGTGAGACTGCAGAGGCTGAAGAGCCCCGCGAGCGTCACGCGTGCTTCAGTGTGTGCGTGTGGTAAATGAAACCGCGCATGACATCGATTGATTTAGTGTGAATCGCTACTCGGTAGTTCTGACGTAATTCGGTCCGTGCCATTAAAAGTACCGAGTTCGGTACCCAACCCTACTACTCTTGCTGTTTCTGCTTTAGAAGGATACAGTCAAACTAGTATGAGAAGATTACTAGCCGGCTATGCGGTTCAGAAATCAGCATATATCATCCAGACGTGAGCTTCAATGAATTCGTTACAGTCATTACATGAAATGTCTTATCTCACATGATGAGTTCGGGTGATAAACCTGCAGAACCACAGAAACCAAATGACTTCCTGTAATCTTGCTCTGTGTCCTTAAACAGATTTGCTCAGCTTTACATGACAGTCAGTATCATCCACTAAAATACACACAATATTACATTTATTAATGTGAAAATCACTTAATACTGATAGAAAATGTGAGTATAACAAGATCTGCAATGATATTAATATCTTGTGCAAGAACAACACAACATGTGTTAGCGAACAGCAGTTATGAATGTGTTTCCTGATACATTTTGTCAGAATGTAACAAAGTAACATTCCATTCATACAGAGCGCTCTGAGATTATGAACATATGTGAAGTAAACGATATGATAACCTCATATATAACGTTCAGCAACATTTCATGTAAACATCAGCATTTCACTGTGTAGCAAATGTTTTTATCCAACACTCATCCACTTGAACGGTCAGGAAGAGTCTCGTCCAGTGAGTGTCCGTGTACCTCAGGAATGAACTCTGTATATTTTCTCCATGACAGCTATGACCCATTTTAGGGGAAGTCTGTAAAACATATCTCAGACCCACAAACCTCGGTTCCACAGGCTGGTTCTCCGCAGGGTCACGAGCCGGCAGTGTTTCGTCCTCGTGTGTGAGGACATCAGACCTCGAGAGTGTGTCTGGTCAGCAGTGTGTTCTGGTCAGAGAGAGATGACAGAGAGTGAGCGAGCGAGCCGGTTGAGCTGGTCAGTTAGAGCGGGTTAGTCTCGTCTAGAGTGAGTCGCAGGTCAAGCGCTGTCAGTGATTATTCTGGAAATATTAGGACCAGGCATGTATGTTACATTAATCAGAAAAAGAAATACAAAATATAAATCAAAACATGAAATGCTACATGATTCTCCAAGTTGCACTCAATAAGATTTCCATCTGTATTTAAGCACACAAATGGAGCTTCTGTGTGTCTGATCATCAACATTTTACTCTTGGATCTCATTTAATGAAGATGAAAAGTTTGACGTTAAACGCAGTAAAACGCTACAGCTGCGTCTGTGTTTGTAAAAGTAAGAAAAGATGTCAGAGAAAGCCTTGTACAGTGGAAGTGAGGGAATGATCTCTGACACACACACACCGACCTAAAAACACCACCTGTACTGTCTTTCATCAGGCTTGTCTTAATTTTTGCTTTACACATTTGATCAATGTCATAACTTGAACTTTTTTATTTCTTTTTCAACATTTCTTAGTGCTTTGAGGGACCGTTTCTATCATTAGTTGTGTTAGAGTTTATAGCTGTGATCCAAACACATTGTGGGGAGGAATTAAGCAGCAAGCAGGCAGAGATAAGATTTATTTTTTTTGACATTCTTGTTACCTGTGTACAGGTTATTTTCTGTTGTCAAATCGAGGTACAAATCGAACCGTGATCGAAAGACCTAGGTCGGAATCAAACTGTGCACTTTGTTCATCAAAAAATGTCTACAAGAGATATGAATGAAATAAATGGTAAGGATGATGACTGGCAAGAGGAAATCTTATAGAGTGCGTCTCTGGTGAATTGATTTTTTATGTTCTGGATTCTCTCTTTCAATGACTGTTTTCAAGGAGTTTTTCCAATAACGCTACCAATTGTGTTTTAGGACTACATACTTCAAATCCCTGAAAACCTTTTTAAAAGCCTTTCTAAGGCATTAGATTCTGTAGAACCTTGGTGCTTTTCTTTCACTGCACCATCGCATGCGTTTCCATGAAAGACAAACACAGGTCCACAGATCCAAAGGGTTTTATTCTTCTCTCAAGGAGAACAATCACACATTTCCGGGCAGTCACACAGTGAGTCCCTTCAGGTCACTCAGTCACACAGAGTCCTACAGGTCACTCAGTCACACAGAGTCCACAGGTCACTCAGTCACACAGAGTCCTACAGGTCACTCAGTCACACAGAGTCCTACAGGTCACTCAGTCACACAGAGTACTACAGGTAACTCAGTCACACAGAGTCCTACAGGTCACTCAGTCACACAGAGTCCTACAGGTAACTCAGCCACACAGAGTCTTACAGGGATCTCAGTCACACATACTCCTACAGGTAACTCAGTCCTACAGGTAACTCAGTCCTACAGGTCACTCAGTCACACAGAGTCCTACAGGTCACTCAGTCACACAGAGTCCTACAGGTAACTCAGTCACACAGAGTACTACAGGTACTCAGTCACACAGAGTCCTACAGGTCACTCAGTCACACAGAGTCCTACAGGTAACTCAGTCACACATAGTCCTACAGGTAACTCAGTCACACAGAGTCTTACAGGAATCTCAGTCACACATACTCCTACAGGTCACTCAGTCACACAGAGTCTACAGGTCACTCAGTCACACAGAGTCCTACAGGTAACTTCAGTCCTACAGGTCACTCAGTCACACAGAGTCCTACAGGTCACTCAGTCACACAGAGTCCTACAGGTAACTCAGTCACACAGAGTCCTTACAGGTCACTCAGTCACACAGAGTCCTACAGGTCACTCAGTCACACAGAGTCCTACAGGTAACTCAGTCACACATAGTCCTACAGGTAACTCAGCCACACAGAGTCTTACAGGGATCTCAGTCACACATACTCCTACAGGTAACTCAGTCCTACAGGTAACTCAGTCCTACAGGTCACTCAGTCACATAGAGTCCTTCAGGTCACTCAGTCACACAGAGTCCTACAGGTCACTCAGTCACACAGAGTCCTACAGGTCACTCAGTCACACAGAGTCCTAAATGTAACTCAGTCACACAGAGTCTTACAGGTCACTCAGTCACACAGAGTCCTACAGGTAACTCAGTCACACAGAGTCTTACAGGTCACTCAGTCACACAGAGTCCTACAGGGATCTCAGTCACACAGAGTCCTACAGGTAACTCAGTCACACAGAGTCCTACAGGTAACTCAGTCACACAGAGTCCTACAGTAACTCAGTCACACAGAGTCCTACAGGTAACTCAGTCACACAGGAGTCCTACAGTAACTCAGTCACACAGAGTCCTACAGGTATCTCAGTCACACAGAGTCCTACAGGTAACTCAGTCACACAGATCCTACCAAAAAACAGGTGGTAATCAGTCACACAGAGTCCTACAGGTAACTCAGTCACACAGAGTCCTACAGGTAACTCAGTCACACAGAGTCCTACAGGTTCAGTCCACACAGAGTCCTACAGGTAACTCAGTCACACAGAGTCCTACAGGTAACTCAGTCACACAGAGTCCTACAGGTAACTCAGTCACACAGAGTCCTACAGGTTAACCTCAGTCACACAGAGTCCTACAGGGATCTCAGTCACACAGAGTCCTACAGGTCACTCAGTCACACAGAGTCCTACAGGTAACTCAGTCACACAGAGTCCCTACAGGTCACTCAGTCACACAGAGTCCTACAGGTCACTCAGTCACACAGAGTCCTAAATGTAACTCAGTCACACAAAGTCTACAGGTCACTCAGTCACACAGAGTCCTACAGGTAACTCAGTCACACAGAGTCCTACAGGTCACTCAGTCACACAGAGTCCTACAGGTCACTCAGTCACACAGAGTCTTACAGGTAACTCAGTCACACAGAGTCCTACAGGTAACTCACCACTCTCCTCTGCCCGTGACCGGAGCATTGTTGTCCGGTCTCGGCTCCTCGGGAACGCTCCAACTCCTTCTCTGCGTAGGGAGGCAGAGATTCACTATCCTCTGCCGGTCGCTGGCGAGGAGACTGGTTCTCGAGGACTGCTGTGGAGACCTCACTGGTTTTCTTGGAGCTGTTTTTGAAGGTGTTCCGAGTCCTCTTCAGTACGACCCGCCTTTGAAGAGCACTCTTCCAGCTTTAGCTTTACGCTCCAATAAACGGTTGAGAAGGCGCATTATCATAGTCTCTTCTGCTCCGGTACTGCTGGAATCTCTCTGATCCCGTGGATCCCGTTGGGGTTGTTCATTGTCTGCTCGTCCCCGCTCATCCCAGGAGTGGCGGAGGGCTGGCAGGCGTCCTCGCTGGACTGGCCTTGGAGAATAACGTTTTGAAGAATAAAATGGGTATCGATCCCGCTCCAGCTCCCGTTCTCGCTCTCTCTCCCTCTCGCGCTCCCGTTCTCGCTCTCTTTCCCTTTCACGCTCCCGTTCGTGTGTTCTGTAGTCATTCTCCCGATTTCCAAGCTCTCCGTGACGTCCTCGCTGCATATATGTCATTGCGAACTCCTCAAGCTCATCCAGAGATCCGGTCCGTCCGTGATCCAGGAAAGCCTTTCTCTGCAGGTGCTCGGAGCGAGGGTTCCACCTGGAAAGAATGATTTATGAATTCAAAACTATCAAAACTATTAAACTAATTGGTGTGTATTCAGACTAGTGAAGAGAGGAATCTACTAAAACCGGCTCAATCTCTTCCATCTCAGATAGGGGTATAACTTTATTTTATTTTTTATTCTAAACTGTTTTAATTATTCTTATTTACTTTGATTCCTTCACTTTGAATTACCATTGTGTATGAAATGTGCTATATAAATACTACACCTCATCCATTACCTGCGGTTGTCATCCGGGACATGATTTCTATGCTGCGGCTGTCGTGTGTATCGTCCCTCACGAATGGGAGATAAATCTGTGGTCCGGAGGTCAGTGGGATCATCAAGATCAGGGATGACTGGCAGAGCCTTTTTTTGTACTTGTCGATAGGTTTGATGGAAGTCCGTTTCTGCATCATGTAATGAACTCAGCTCGGACATACTGCAGGCTGCAGATAAGCATAAATCACCAAAGGCATCGACCTCTTTTTATTCTGTGCAAATTCTTACTACAATTATTTGAAATTAGAATATTTGAAATCGTTCTTGTAACTCCTATCCTCATTTTATTCCAGGAACATCAAGCAGAATTTACAGTACTTTATGAAAGAATAAAGAATGAAGGGTTAAAGACCACAAGGAATGCAGAGAGAAACATGCAGCTCTTCAGGCAGGAAAAAATAGGAGACAGGAGACATGTGGAGTGTGTGCGTGCAGTGGATCAACCACTGTGAAATGCGCAGTGGATCATGTGCAGTGGTCATGTCCAGTGAGTGTGTGCAGTGGATCAGGTGCTGTGGATCATGCAGTGGCTCGGGTGCAGTGGATGGCGTGCAGTGAAATACACAGTGGATGGCGTGCAGTGGTCATGTGGCGTCTGGAATGGCGTTTATCTCTTACAGTCTCGGCTGCTGCTCAGCGTCTGTGACGGGTTGAACTGAGCGAGCTGCTTCTCCACGAACTGCAGCACCTTCAGAGAGCTCTGATCTGATGCAGACTGCAGATGGAAACCACTCCGCACTACAGAAGATACATCATGTGTGTGTGTTGTAAGAATATTGTTTTTGATAACTCGGGGAAACAGACTCAGGCCATTTTAAAACATTCCTGTCCTGTTTTCTGATGAGAAACAATTTTTTGGCCCATTCTTCTGTGGGCTTATAGAATCCTGCTCCTTGTGAGAGAATATGGGGACTAATATTGAATGTTAAATCATAATATTATCGTTCGTAGAGGTTCGTATGTTAATGTGATCCTTAACAAGAGGTGAAAGTAAACAGATTTTGCCCGCGGTCCAACAAAGGGCTTGAGTTTGTGACTCGATCTGAGCTCTAAGAACCGTCTGAATTGACCTAAACTGAGCGAGGAGGAGGAATGCAATTGAAAGAGTGAGAGTAAGCAGCACACTTAATATTTGCTTACTCTAGCATTTTGATCAGTTATATAGTGTATATATATATGTACTAAATAACATTTATAACTTTATTTGACTTGTATGTTTTTAATATGACACATTGTGGTGCATTTGCTCTCAAGTGCAATCTCTATTATGGCAGTAGCAGTGTGAAGGGAATGCATGAGTGTGTTGCAGCTGTATCACTGTAAACTTGAAATGTTTGGATTTCAGTGTTTGATTCTTTGAGTAATTGAAACGTCCCAAATCTCTTCTGTGGTAAAGCTCTGAAATACCGCTGTGGTCAGAACTATTTAATAACAGGTCAGTAATTCATGCTGTGGTTTGGAGCGTCTAACACAGTCACAACAGACTTTCACCAGCAGTGAAACATGTTTACTCTAGTGCTCACCTGCCGAGCCGTTGTGCTCCAGCGATGCTGTGGCGGACAGGTGTGGGTCGATGGACAGGTGTGGGTCGATGGACAGGTGTGGGTCGATGGACAGGTGTGGGTCGATGGACAGGTGTGGGTCGATAAGGGAGGGTGGGGCAATGGGCACCATGGTGGGCATCCCAGCTATGTAGTATGGAGGGAACATGGGCACTGGTGTGGGCGCTGCTGTCTTGATCCCCTTTCCTGCTTCATACACTATTGGAGAGAAAGTCTGAAGTCATGTAGCATGGCAACCCGGCCATTTAAAAGATTTAATTTACCCAGTTCATATGCAATGCAATGCTAGTATGTAAAATATGCAATGGCGTAAACTTATCTTCTGTGGTCCGTTTTCTCCTTTAATTCAATTAAATGGAGGAGGAAATGTTTAAAGAGTTCTGACATGCTTTTGTTACAAAATCAATGAGTACTGAAGTACTGAGGTTTGTCACGTGGTGCTCATTACACAGTCAAATGATGTTGCCTCTCACCCACTGCCGCTCAGGTTTGTGCCTGATAGTAATGCAATAACATGAGCTAATATGTGTTTGTATGCTTGTGTAGTGTTTTGATCTTGATTGTTTGACCTGCACTGGTGTGTGTGTGTGTGTGTGTGTGTGTGGTACTCACGGTGTCGAGGGCAGCAGCAGGTCTCTGGGCAGCAGCAGCATCTGACGTAACAGCAGCAAGAGTGAGGACAACACTGACACCAGCAAACTCCCACCAGCAGGAGGACCAGAGCACTGCCCACGACCACAGCGCTCACAAACACCCACTCTAGCAGAGAGAACAGAGCTCATCACCATCATCATCACCTTCATCATCACTGTGTTCATCAGATGGACGGATGATGGACGGATGATGGATGGATGGATGGATGGATGGTGGTTGGATGCAGTTAGCAAACACGTGTGATATTATAACTTGCGTTCGGGTGTTTTCCAGGTAAGAGCCGGATGAGCAAGAGAACCGACTGAGGATCTCAGAGGAATGTGTTGCACAAACACTCCAAATAAATCACTCCATGAAGGAACACACACACACACATCTACAGCCCAAATGTGTCTGGTTTCCAAGTGGAACTCATTCATCATAATTTCGACAAAAAAGATTTTCAAAAATGTGAAATGCAGTAACAGGGTTCAAATGAATTAAAACCTCATGTAAAGCCCCAAAAGCACTAGTTAAACAGTTAACCAGTTAAACGACCCGCTAACATGTGAAATCCTCCGGGAAGTTCCTCCAGTGTTAATGAGTAACGGGATCAGATACAGACTCCGGAACAAACAAACCATCCTGAACACACACATCCTCAGGAAACGCTGAGCTTCGAGAGCTTACGCTGGAACTAATAGCAGTGCTCTGAGTGCCAAAAGAGGATATAAAATAATCCAATTCAATAATTCAATCTCATCGATCAGAAGTTCCCTGATCTCTAAGAGCCGCCGTCACAGAACACGAGCGGAGCGGACGAGGCCTTCGGCGGACCGTCGCCATCCGAGATACTCGTCACGCCATCTCTCAGTCACACAACAGCAGGTTTCTTAGTGTAATTTTTACAGTTATCAGGAAATGACATCACAGGGGAATTAAAGAATTACAGACAGGAAGTGAGGCGGCTCGGACAGGAAACAGACAAGTGTGCGTTTGGGAGCTCGTACCTGGAACAATCTCCACATTAAAGCCAGGCAGAAGATCATCGGCCAAAACTGTCTGACCTGGAGAGACAGATGAGACGGAGAGAGAGAGGTAAAGAGAGAGAGAGAGAGGGAGAGAGAGAGAGAGAGAGAGAGAGGAAGAGAGAGAGAGAGGGAGAGAGAGAGAGAGGTACAGAGAGGGAGAGAGAGAGAGGGAGAGAGAGAGTGAGGGGGAGAGAAACAGATGAGAGAGAGACATAGAGAGAGAAGGAGAGAGAGAGAGAGAGAGAGAGAGAAGGAGAGAGGGAGGTTAAGCAGAGCAGCAGAGCTGAGAAAGAGGAATCATGTGTTGATTTCATGCAAACAGAGAGAAGATGGTGACGTGTGTGTGAGCAGAAACATGAAGGATTGAGAGACTCATCCCTAACCGCTAACACACGACTCCCGCGCTGAACTGAGAACAGTGATGCTAGCCTTAGCAAACAACTGACCACTGCTTACACACAAACAAGGGCAAGACGTTTCTCAGCGAGGAGTGTGTGTGTGTGTGTGTGTGTGTGTGTACGACTGCATGAAGAGAGTCTGTAGAAACACCTCATGTTTAATCCTCGAGGTCAAAGGTCAATCAGTGACACTGAACGGCATTACACACATTTATCAGCATTTTAGGTACTAAAGTCTTTTATTAAAATCTGGCTTTTAATGTAGTATGTGTGTCAGTGTGGTGTTTATAATGCGCTTTAACACAAACATGTGTAAGTTCATGTCAACACAACTGCAGTGAGACAAATCGCTGGTGTTTCTGACGTCACAAACCACCTCGTAACCAATCAGATCAACGTGTGATCGACAACCAGTGGTTCTCTGAGTGAGTGAGTGGAGGCGGGGCTCATCTGCATATTCATAGAACAGCTTATTCTACATGGAAGTTTTGCTTTAGTTCGGTTCACTTAACAAATAAATCCTAAATGCGTT